TCACATGACCATTTATTTATTCATTTCATCTCTTCCACATGTTAATTCCCTCCAGATTTTGAAGTTGTACATAAAATCACCATCATGAATGTAGTTTCTTCCCCATTAAGTTTTTGTTAAATAGTTTTTCTTTTTAATCCAAACTAATTTGTTTAATTTCCATGCCTGATGAATATGCACCAAGCCACAGGAAGACTACAAATATTCACCTTTCCGTTGCTGGGTTGCAACCGATTTTAGGCAGAAATTCAAAATGCGAAAAGGAGAAAGAGAGGGACAAAGCAAGAACAGCAGGCCAGCAATTCAGAACTGAATTTAAGCTCCATTGGCTGTTCATGAGTTCATCTTAGTTCAAGACTATTGGTCAAAAAAGAACCAAAATTGACTACTTAAAACAGGGACAATATACACTATACATTAACTGCAGGAGGAGAGATGCATTTTTCACTTTATAGCGTTATGTGCTAATTTCCACCTGTTGTCACTGGTCCAACTGGTACATTTAAAAAAAAAAAGAAAAAGGAAAAAAAGAGCTGGATGCTACTCAATAAGATAAACATTAAGAAAAATATCCTTAATTATTCCAAAGATTAATTTAGACATATTTAATCCCAGTGTTTCCAGCAGGCTGGTGGGAACATTGGATGGATGACAGAGAGAATGATAAGCTCTGTCATTCTATTGATGAAGATAAACTCCCAGATCAACTGGGTCATCTTATTCTGACTTCAGAAATGGAAACCATCAAGAACATCCAGATCATCTTCAAAAGAAAAATAAAAGTTTTCACCTTTCATGGCCCATTTTTGTTGCTCCTTTGCAAAGTCTGAACTGTGAAGTGAGGTGTGGAGAGAGAGGTGACCTTTAAAGGTACTGACTGGATCCTCCATCTCAGTGCAGAAAAAAAGATGGGGGAACTACCACTTTATTCCTCCCATCCCTTCAGGATTCTTTTTGAAGTTTAAAAAGACTTTCTTACAACCATTGCATCAATTAATCATTACAGGAAGTATTGCATGTGCACATTTGTAGTGAGCCTTCTTGCCTGTCATGAGTGGTTCAATGTAAATACCTGACAGAAAATTAAATAAAATCTAAATTTTTAGGGTTAATGGCCATAAACGTTTGATCAAATTACGTTATAGGTTGCCTGGTTATTCATTTTATTTTTTCCACATGTTAATTCTCTCCACAATTTGAACTTCTACATAAAAACACCAGCATGAATGTAGTTTCTTCCCCATTAAGATTTTGTTGAACGGTTTTTCTTTTAAATCCAGACTAATTTGTTTAATTGCTTTCAGTTGGAAAAAAAATCCTACAATAGACTTTTTTGAAAGCATCAGTAGATCAGCAAATCATCTTTTTTTCAAATTTACCACTCAAAAGTCACACCTCTGTTAATATTTTGTATTATTCCTTCAAAGAGTGAGCGACTTGGCAAATGCCAGGTTTAGTATTTGGCGCCATCTTGAATTTTGCACAGTGGTAGAAGATAATTTAGACTTTTTCAGTTTGTTGTGATGTTATTTTCTTTTTAATGGCACCGAGGTCTGTAATTTCTGTTTCCATTTACACAAGTTCAAAATTGAAATTTTATTTTAGGAAGAACAATTACATCCATTTAAGTCAGAATATGACAGATGTTGGAATCTTCTCATCAACACTCTAAAATCCAATATTGGCTGACTTGCATACAAAATGTAGTGACAGCTACAGCTTCTAATTATTTGCTTCTAAGTAAATCTTTCAACCACTCCATATATGGTGACCATGCAGTCAGAGTAAAAGTCCTCCATTCAGGAAATTATATTTCTGTATCAGTTGTGTTGCTAAAATTAGTTAGCCTTGTCACAGAGAAAATAAAAGGGTTTAAGTTTCTGGTGGAGGCCATCAGATTTTTATTTAAAAAAAAATGTCTGGCCACTCAAACAATGGTTTCCAAATAAATGGAATGAAAAACTGTGTTTTATAAGTTGATTTTTAGTTTACAATTATAGATTTTAGTTTGATATTTATATTAAAAATTATTTCGCTAATGTCAAACAAACTTGACCCTGGTTGCTAGATATAATTTTTATTTTTATGCAGTGTTCCTTTTAATAATGAGAATAGAATAACAGCATTTAGTCTTTGTTATTCTTTCTGAGTTTATCTCTGGGAAAGTTGTGTCCATTTCAGCTGCATACGCACCAACATCTATCTTAGATCTCAGCAGGTTTTTCTAAGTGTGTGGGTTGTACCAGACAGCTGAATTATGCTCAAATGAGTCTGCAGTCTGCTCACTCAGCGCACCACAGGCGAGGATCATATGGAACTGGCAAAGACAGTCTTTCATCACCTTTTACTAATGTTTTCTCATGGTGACATAAAATTCTGCTTCAACTCTGGATGTATTTTGCTGTAACTTCAGCAAATTGTCTAATTTATGACAACGTGAAAAAACGTAACAATAAATAAGTAAGGAGTTTAAAATAAGTCTTTTGAAAGTTTGCATTTGTCTGTGTCCATCCATCAGGTGTAGAGTTTTGCATGACTACCTCCAGTACTCTCTGTACAGGACAGCAGGCCATCGCAGGGCAGATAATCATGAATGCACTACTCCCACCTACAGGTAATTAGCAGCTAACATAAAATGCATAATAAGACAAAGTAAGAGAATATTCATACTCAATACCGGATGGTGTCAGCTGGTTATTTTATCCTGGGACACTCATAATTGTGCCACCACACAACAAATATGTTTTGTGGGACTTAAAACCTAACGATTATGCGTACTGGGTTTAGAATTGAAGGTTGAGTGCTGCAGCGTGTGGCTCCAGTTGACAGCACATGTTTTACCATGTATTTTACCGTACCTTGTGCACACCGGTGTAATTTTCTCAGCACACTTTAGTCTTTGCATGCTGTTAATGCTTCTTAGCAAAGAGTTTGTGTGCTTAAAGGAGGCAAGGCAACAAAGCGCCTCCCTTCTCTCTGCTTTGTGCAGCTCTATTTATTTATACCTACAGAGAAAATGATTTTGAACTTCCATGTCGCTCAGCAGCTCAGCATGCAGCATTTGTCCTTTTTGAAAGCAGAGATATTACATTTGAGAATCAGGCTTTGTGACATTCCTGATAAGGATAACCTCCTCAGTCATTTCTCTTAGTGGCGAGAAGGAAGGTGAGTTTGCCTCTGTAAGAGTTCAATGACAGCAGATCAAGACAGCAAAGGACAGACTGCAGCAAAAGTGCTCAGAGAAACAAGCTGCACTCCCCTTTGATCCTTCTGGGATTTTGTCACATTACAGTCGCATGTTTCATTGGGACTTTGTGTGAAAGACCAGCATGAAGTACCAAATAATTGTGAAGAGGAAGAAAAATGAAGTCTGGCCTTCAAATGCCTTTGAACAAATAAAAAAAACTAAAAAGAGTAGTGGGAATTTGTCTTTGCACCCTTTTATTCTGACAACCTTAAATAAAATCCAACACGATCAATTGCCTGAAAAGGCAATCTTTTAATTAAATAAAAAATGTGCAGTTCAATCTTAATATAAATCCAAATGTTGTGTGGAGACTTAGGAGATTTGCTAGTGAACGGTAAAACCAAAAAGCTACAAACATCTTGGTGTTCATTTAAAAGGAGCCCAGAGACCATCTTAACTCTGGAGAAGCTGCAAACATCAACTGCTTAAATGGGAAACTTTGGCCTCAGTTTAGCTATTGTCCTAATATTGCCATTTTAATAGGGCAGTTTTATGTAAGCTCATAAAACTGTGAAGCTCAATTTTGAGCTTCACACGCTAGTTAGCATGCTTAGAGTTTGCAAAGCAACCAATTCAGGTTGTTTTGCTGATTGGCTGTTTTTTCCTTGCTGCTGATTGGCTGTACTCTTGAGAGTGCCGATAGGGAAAATTGTTCATAATACCTTCTAGTGTTTTACTAATATGGTTTCCAATGTCTTTATCAATGCATATTAAAGCGTAGTTGGTGCATCACCAGTTGGAATGAACAATTTTAAGTGAGTGGTGAGGAGTCTAGATTTTATAGCTGTGGCCCCTAAACAGGGAAGATGGTTAGAACAATCCAAATCCTGGAAGAAACCTCAAGAAACAAGAGATGGGGTGAAAGTTCACCTTCCAGGCAAACAACAACCCTAAATTTACAGCCATATTTACAAGGCAGTCATATTAGAATGGTCTAGTCAAAGTACAGACAAAATTCCAACTTTGAGTTTGTGCGAAACTTAAAAGTGTTCATATTTTTACAGCCTGTCTGATCATCAGCTATTTTGCAAATACAAGGTAAATTTTCTAAATTTGTATTTCTATTTTCCTTCAATTTCAAAATTATGCACCACATCATGCGGATCTATAAAACACACTGACCTCTGTGCTTTGACAAGTTTCTGGGTATGAATACTATTTCAGTCCACTGTAGAACTGCTGCAGATATGAGCAGACAGTCAAACACGAGGTGGAAGCATAAACACAATACATTAATTTTTAGGCTACAAAACTGTTTGTCATTGTCGAACACTTTGCAAAGTAACATCAGACACTAAGTTACAGACAACAGAGACATAAAGGGACAATCTGCAACTACCACACTGAAAGCCCAGTTCACTGATCAGCCAGGCAGTAAATATGTTCCCTGCTGTAACTGGGGGCAATGCTCGACACTGAGGCATCAACATGACTTTGCAAAAAAATAAATAAATAAATAAATAAAAAAGGATCCTCCAAAAAGCAACATGACAATTAGCTCCAAAATCCAACAGATTTCGTTATTCAGCTCTGATCTGGAAAACAGTTCATAGCAAACTGAAATTTGCACCAATGGGACTTTTCTCATCTGAATAAACTTAGTTATGGTGTAGTTCAAGTTAAAAAATGATACCATCATGTGAGTTTGCTGCCAAAGACACGTTTCCTGAGTTTGTGTGTCTGATGGGATTTATGGAACAACCGGAAAAGCAGAAGAAGCAGACAGACAGTGCAGACAGTGCAGACAGCTCACCGGGAGCGCTCAGTCCTTCAGGGTTGGCGCTCAGCTCGTTCACGTCAACCACGCAGCATCCCAGGTGCCGGGTACCGCCGTCCTCCATCTGTCCAACCTGCCCCTCTCTTCTCCCCCTCGCCCCCCCTCCGCCTCCTCTCCCACGGAAAACCACAGTCCAGTCCAGCGCTCCGGCTCTCACGCTCCCTGCCAGACGGAAAAGGCTGTGACAGAAATAGCAGTCCGCCCGCCTCGCTGTTCTGCTGCCTCACGGCGGGCTCTCTGCCGGCTTTACGGATGCCTTGTGGAAACTAGTGAGGAAGAGAGGAACCGGCGAGGGACCTGGAGCAGCATCAGTAGGGGAGGGTGAGAAAGAGAGAGGGAGGAGAGATGAGGAGCGTGAGGTGCAGAATGAAAGAGAAAGCAGGACAGAATTGATGTTTCGTGCGATGCACGGTCCTATCCATCAATCCCGGGCTGACAGTGGGGGCGCCCGGAGCTGGCTGCACGGTGCAAACACAGCCAGAAAGACAACTCTGCAACGCTCCCTCAGTTCCTAGCCCCCACCCCCACTGCGCAGCCACTGCTGCATCCAGACAGCAGCAGGGGTCCCTCTGATTTGTGACATCCGTCTCCCTCCCTTTCAGCAGCTCCCCTCCGGCCCCCACACCTCTCTCGGCACTCCACCACCTTTTTCCCCTCTTCTCTATCAGGAAAACAAATAACAAGCTTTCGACCGCCGAAGCTCCCCGCAGTGAAGCCAGAATCGAGCCGCATGTCATTTCAGAAGTTGCACATAAAGGCTGAGGAAGACTCACAATAGAAAGCCCAACTTTCCCTGTTGTTCATCAACAGGTTAAACCCGCAAAAAAAGAGCGGTTATTAGCAGGACTTGATGACGTCACGAGGCAGCAGAAATATATATTCTGATTTATTCAGCGGTTGGTTAAAGAGCCACGCTGCGTTTATTATGCGCTGCCCTCACTGTGCCTGTTCCCGCTCATAATGTGGAGGTTATTGTTAGTTATTTGGCCTCCTTGTCTCTGATGCCATAGAAATGTGCGGATCAATATTAATTTAGACCTGGCTGCTTGGGCCGAGTGCTGCTGCCATTTCGACCAAGAACCCGTAACGATACAGTGACAGCAGCAGCTTTCTGACATTTATAGTGCCTGATTCATACCCCTATAGCTTCTCCTCATTCTGATGGTGGAAGTGCAGTATTTGATATGTTTTGTCAAAATTGTATGCAATTTCAAAATCATACATGGTTTTCCACATATTAAAAACAAAAACAAAATGTAAACGCTGGTTTACATTCTTCTTTGAAAATAATTTCAAGGTTAATCAGAGCAGATGGAAAACAGTAAATAGCAGTTTAAGGTTTTGGCAGCGTCTTGTTTGGATCAGGTGTGTACTTTGACTTGGAGCTCTGTTTGTTTAGAGGAGTCGTTCTGTTGGAGGGAGACTGAACGTTTTAACAGGTTTTCTTCCTGGATCGCTTTGGATTTAACTCCTTTCTTATCCTACAGTATGACTGCCTTCAGAACAAGAGAACGCTACCTTCAGATTGATCCGATCCGTTGTTTCTATGTTATGGTGATCGGATAGAAATTTTCCAACAGGTTTTGAATTTAAGGTTTGGTTTCATTTGACTATACACCGTGTTCCACATTATTATGCAAATTGGATTTAAGTGTCATAAAGATTAAATTTGTTGTTGTGCTATTAAATGTGACTCCAAATTGTCTGTAAAATTTGCCTATTTGCGCATTCTATTTTCCTAGCGTATATCTCAAATGTATTTAAAAAAAATCCAGCTTGGGAAGCTAAAATATGTAACTGCAATGCTACATGACACAAAATTAACTTGTGTTTGCAGAGCAGCCAATCCAAGGGCACCGTTCATTTTCAGGACCAGTGATTGGCTGAACCTCTGAAGAACGCAGGTAAGGGAGATTGTAGATCAGGGTGTCAAACTCATTTTCATTTTCAGCCAAAACAGGATTATGAAGGGCTAGTTATCACTTACAGCAGAATGCATCAATAAAAGCCCCATTAACAAACTGTTAAAATATTAATAGACCGCTATCACTGCGTTTGATGAGTACTTCTTGAAATTAAATAATACTGAACATCTTTTTACATTGATCTAATTTGGCAGAATACAAATACAAACGACTTTGGTAAATATTAAAGCACACAGCTTTTATCTTGGACGTTCTCTTCATGCGGCCCTCTAATGTGTTTTAAGTATTTCTAGATGTGTAACGTTGAAGTATTTTCAGATTTCAGCGATTCACAACAATATTGGGGGTTCACTGTATCCATCTCCATGTTGTCGTCACTGTTTATCAACAGACCTTCTTCACATGAGAGCTCAAATTATCCTAGAATAAATAACTAAATAACTGATAAAGGCAACTTCTGAAGTCAACTGGTTGAATTGGATTTTATTTCAAAGTTTCCACCACATCAAATCCGAATACGTACACTGGAGTTTGTTGAAGTTATGCCACCAAACATCAAAGACTGAGACATGTGAATTTTTTTCCCCAGTTTTTTTTATTGAGTACTTCTAAAGTCCTGGTGGTGGAGTGTGTGCCTATATTGAGCACTTTTACTGCACTTCTTGTCATTTATTGCCATAATTGTTAGCAACAAACAGCAAAACAGAAAAATTACTCAACTTACAATTCATTCCGAACAGAGAATACTGAAGAGGTTATCCATATCTTTGATGTCACAAAGTTCAATCTTCAAATATAAATCTCCTGCCTTAAAAAGAGAAAAACATGGCGTACTGAATTGCAGAGCTTTAGAAGTGACATGGAAGTTCAAATTCATTTTCTCTGTAGGTATAAATAAACAGAGCCGCAGAGAGCATGAGTTGTGTTGCCTCATCTCTGTTAAGCACACAGATTCTTCACAGGGAAGCTGGAACAGCATGCAAAATTTAAGGTCTGCAGAGAATATGACACCAGTGTGCATAAACACATTAACATTCGTGATAAAACATGCTTTATTAACTGCAGCCTTACATGGAAGCCTTGTGAACCAAGGTTTTATTTGTTTCAGTCTGTACCAAGTTGTATGGTGCCACAGTTGTTTGTACTGTTGCTATGCAGAAGGTTATTGGTTTACTATATGGAGCTCAGTTGGGGTCATAACCTTTGCTCGTTTTTTTTTTTTTTTTTATTTAATAAAAGATTTGAAACTGAAAAGCAGTTCTGAAACTGAAAGAAATTCAAAACTACTTTTTTTTCCAGTTTCAGATTTTTTTTGCCATTTGTTTCAGTGTCAAATCATTTTCTTTCTTTTTCTTTTTACCTTATTTATAGTTTAGCACAATTTATGGCACTGATTTAGCTCCATATGACTCCCTGCAAGGGCCAAGGAGTTTATATGTTGACCAACTTTCTTCCTCAGTCAAAAACATGCAGCTCTGCAGTCTTCTCTGTAGGTCTGTTAGAGAACATAATTCTAGACAGGTATGTGTTTTGATCTCTAACCTAAAGTCCCAATAAATTATATCAAAGATTGTACTTATGTCCCACAGTATAAATGTTTAATTTTCAATGTTTCATCTGCAGTCTCTTGAACTGAATTGTTAATTTCAGCTGTAAGTAAGAAATAAAAAAGGCTTAACGGAGAAAATTTGTTTTTCTTGTTAAACTCTTTTCATTTTATGGTCTCAGACTCTGTATCCTTCAGATTAGACCTTACAGGCAACTGAGGCTCCAGATCCATGCAGCGTTCCTGCAGTGTCTTCAGGCAGCTGGTCCAGTTTGGGGTGACTGCCAAAAACCAAAATGAAGATAAATTGGTCTCCACAGTCGCAATAAGACAGAAGATGAGTCCCTCTCTGCACTTGGAGGTTTCTCCTTCACTTCCCAGCACGCTCTTCATCCGCAGCCTTTTATCCCCTTTATTTCTGCATTTTCCATGTTTTCCACTCCCTTTTTACTCCCCCTGTGTGTCATAATGAATGTTATCTTGTTTGGTTTTAATGAAAATCTGATTTCTCACATGCGCAGATAAACACGGCTGCCTGCGCGTGTCCAGAGACTCGAGCAGATCCATGGAGTGATCCATTAACATTCTAATACGTTTCTTTTAAAAGGCGACATGTGTTGTCTTATTAAAGCCTGACTGATAGAGGAGGCTGAGGAAAATCAATAGGCAATGCACTAAGAGATGGTGAATGGTGCACCGAGGAGAGGAGAGCAGAATAAACATGCCCTTTTTAGCTATTCTGCCACAAAGCACAGACAATAGATCCTCACATTTACCTGTTTCAGTGGTGCTTGAGGCCCATTAGAATCTGACATGCACTCTGTTCAGTATTAACTGAAAAGAGAGCCAATACGTTGAGTAATGCTTACGGTCGGGATGCATCCTGCTTCTGCCAGAAATGCACACTTAGGCGATGCGAGGCCACAGAAATCCATGTCCAATGGTTGTTCTTTTAAATAAATGAAACTAAATGCTAGAGATTGGACAATCAAAGCAGCTCCAAATTAAACCAGTGCCTTCAATCGCCACACATCAAATACCCCACTGGTTTCTTCAGTCTCATAAACAAAGATTACTGTTGGTTTTGTTTCTCTTTCAGTGTTTGTTGTCCATTTAGGTTTAATTTGTGGTAACAGAAATCAACACTCTGACAGTGGAAACAACAGGAACAATAGCAGCACCATCAAAGTTTTTCTTTCAGCATCCCCCCTGCTGTGCACCCTTTCTTTGATTTTTAACATGAGAACAAGGTCCCTGGGGCGATGGCAGACAAAACTCCAGGTTAACAAAAGTAGTTTCTGTTTATATTTTTCCAGTTTCAGTCCAGCAGTACCAACTAACAGTCTAATATACAGTCCCATGGAATGTGCTTTGAGTTCTCCGTAGGGTGAATGTTAAGTAATGAAATGGCTTTGCTGCAGCAGCCAGCATTTGTCTGTAGCTATAAGTTGACTTTCTTACTGAAAATAAATTCTGCTAGGCAACAATCAGTCACATCACAGTCCCTGGCAAGACATAGAACCAGCAGGAAAATCATGCACAACCAAAATGGAACGAAGAAACTGAGACTTGAATATCCACAAAACCAAATTACATCAGATGTAATT